TTTGAGTTCTTATATATTCTTGCTGACTTTCTGCTTGGTTGTTAAATATTTTCTCTACACACATTGGCGACAGAATTGGACAGTGTTATAGTTTTTGCTTTGACTGTCAAACATAATTTAGAAAACTCAAAAGGAGAAGAAAAGTCTATTATATTTACCCACAGGTTTGCTCTTCTGTGTTCTTTCTTCCTGATGTTCCAAGATTTCTTCTTTCTTTTTTTCCTAAATCATTTCCTTTCTGTTTAGAGAATTCCCTTTAGCCATTCTTTTAGGGTAGGTCTGTGTTGGACAAAAATTCTCTTAGTTTTCTTTCATTTGAGAATGTCTTGACTTCCCCTTACTCCTGAAGGATATTTTTACTAGACACAGAATTCTGGGTTGGCAGTTCTTTTCTTTCAGCACCTGAGAAATATTGTGTCACCTTCTTATGGTCTCCATGGTTTTTGATGAGAAATCCTCTGTCATTGGAACAGTTTCCCAGCTGTAAGTAATGTATCATTTTTATGAGGTTGCCTTCAAGATTTTTTTTTCTCTGCCTCTAGTTTTTAGAAGTTTGACAATGTGTCTTGGCATGGATTTATTTGGGTTTATCCTGTTTGAGATTTACTCAGCTTCTTAAATCTGTAGGTATATGTTGTGTGTGTGTGTGTTGTCAAATTAAGAAAATTTGTAGCCATTATTTCTTGGAATTTTTTTAGCCTCACCTTCTTTCTCTGTTCCGTTTGAGACTCCAATGACACACATGTTAGATCCTTGAGGCTCTGTTCATTTTCTTTCAGTCTATTTTCTCTCCGTTGTTCAGACTAAGTAATTTCTATGCTCTATGTTCTGTTTCACTGATTCTTTCTTCTACACGCTCCATTCTACTGGTGAGCCCATCCATTAAGGTTTTCCTTTCAGTTATTGTATTTTTTAGTTCTAAAATTTCCATTTGGTTCTTCTTTCTATTTTCTATTTCTCTGGGGAGACTTTCTGTTCTTTCATTTCAGGTGTGTTTGCAATTGCTCCTTGAAGCATATTTTACGGTGGCTGCTTTAACATCTCTGTCCGACAATTCTAACCTCTGTGTCATCTCGGCGTTTGTGTCTGCTGATTATCTTTCCTCGTTCAGTTGGAGAACTTCCTGGGTCTTAGTATGATGAGTGATTTTTGACAGAAACATTTTGGGTATTATGCTGTACGACTCTGGATCTTATTTAAATCTTGTATTTTAGCAGGCCTCCCTTTATACTGCCCCAGTGAAATGAGGGGAGGGGCACTGCCTCATTTTTTCTAGATGGGGGTAATAGTCCAGATTCTCCACTCAGCCTTTCTTGACACCTGGGGGAGGGGGTGAGGACTCCTTGTTATTGCTGGGCAGGGGTGGGAGTTCAGGTTCTCCACTAGATACTCACTAATATCACCCTGGCTGGGAGGGGGGAACCTCACTACTGTTCCGTCCCCACGTAGCTTTCACTGACACCTTGGAGGGGGCTTGTTACCACTGGGTGGAGGCGAAAGTCCTGACTCTCCGCTAGGCCTCCTCTGACACCCCTCCAACGGGGAGGGGGAGGAAAGTCTCACGACTATGTCAGGTGCAGGTGGATGTCCAAGCTGCCCATGTGGTCTGCACCGACGCTGCAGGGAGGGTGATCCCGGGGGGATGAGGGTCCCAGCGCCACACTCCGCCTTCTCTGGCACCAGTCTGACCAAATGTGGGACGTAGCTCAGGGCTCTTTGTCACAGCCCGGCCAGGGTGGAAGTCTGGGCTCCCTGCTCAGCCTTTGCTCATGACGGTGGGGAGGATGAGGCTGCAGTTCTTTCTATGGTATTTGGCTGGATAGAGCAGTTATTGACAGAAAGAGTTCTATCTTTCCATCATGCCCCTTTCTTGGTTCTTTGGCTAGAAAAGCAGAGTTTTGCTGGAACTTTTATGTCGTTTGTGCTCATCGGCATTTCCGGTTGTTGCTTCTCCGATGTCCGATCTGGGATAGGCGAGGCAAAGAGAAAACTCAGGGAAGGCACCACCGTGTCATTCCTTGGGCACCAAGGTTCCTAACTCGTCTGCCTTCTCTCCACCTTTCTGTCTTTTTAGGCTTGTTTTATAAAACAGAGTTTTCGGTTGTACTTAGCAGAAGAAACAGGGAAAAGTGTATCTACTCCACGTTTCAAGAACAGCACTGCTTTTTGAAGAAGTTGTTCTTCCCTCTTTCTGTTTCCATCCCTATGGCCGGCTGCTCATAGGGTGCAGTAGGATCAGAATCAGGAGTTCTCAGAAGCTTCCGTCGTTATGCAGGATTTGCATGGCTTTGACTGCTGCCTGGTTTTGCTCCCGAGACACTCACTGACTAGAAGCCCGATATAAGCGCAAAGGTTTCAGTCTCAAGACTTTCCCATTCAGTGATACTTCCCACGAGACATCTTCTTTCCTGGTATCTGAGCTCTTCCCTGGACCCTCGGGGCTGCCGGAGCGTCGGTGTGAGCGGTCGGGTTCCCCACCATTCATGCCTATGACACAGGGCAGTGGCCGTGGAAATAACCGGATAGTGGCGCTTGACTCCCAGTACTTTCAAGTTGGCTGGTGCCTTTCCAGCTCGCTGCCTGGTCTTCTGCGTGGCTTGAGGCATTAGCCTTTCCTGAGAGCTGGGGAGAGGGGGAGTGGTGGAGAAGCCCACTCTGAAACTGACCTGATACAGAAAACCCGTAGCCTAAAGCTAAGAACTGACCATAGATATTCGAGTGTCCCCATCTGATTCCAAGCCTACAACCTGCCATTGTCTGTATCCCCCACTCTCCAGACCATGATGCCTCCTGATCATCTTCAGAGCCGCAGAGAGGCCGGGGGGCGTGGCCAAGGAGGCGACAGTCAGTTACTGCAGACTTCACTTGACTTCCCCTTTCGCTCTCAGACGCTGCCAGGGTCCCTGAAGAGGGAAGACACGAGGAAACAGGTAAGAATCGTTTTGTTCTTTTTGGCATTCAACAAGCAAGCATGGAGCAGCTGCTATGTGCCGCGCATAAGTCCCAGGGCTGGGAACCCAGCAAGGACGTCCCTTTGTCTCTCCCGCCTGAGTTACGACAGGTGGTAGACAGACCCCTGTCTTTGAGCATAGCCCTTGCCAGGCTTGGGGAGGGCAGGGTGGATGCCCAGGAGGGAAGAAAGGAGTCAGGGAGGTGGGCTTTGAGGTCCTGCATGGCCCTAAACAGACCTGTAGTGAGCAGGCCACGGGTGTGGACAGTGTGGCCTTGTCCTGGCTTTGTGCCTAATGCCTGTGGTCCCTACCCTTCTTCACACCCCACCCTGCCTCCTCAGCCTTCCAATTCCCAGGCCTGGGGCCCCAATTGCCACGCTCCAGAGACTGCCTGGAGCTTCTCGGGGCAAGTACTAGGCAGCCCTGCTCGGGAAGTGCCCCTCTTCCACTCCAGATGACGGTGTGGCTGGTGGGTGCTGGTAGAGGGGACACAGTGGCCCAGCCACTGGAGGTGTGAATCTTTGCCCCAGGCAACGGAATCTAGTCCTTGCCACAACCCTCGTTTCCCCTTAGGAAACCTTACAGGGATCTCGAAGTAGGTCTCGGAACACTGGCCCTGCAACCCTGCAAAGTTTTTTTTATGAGAAATGTACAATAGATCCCAGGGCCAAGGAAGTATGTGCTAGATATTGTAGGCCTGTATTCTGATCCCCACGTTTGCAGATCTGTGATGCAGATACAGCTTATTAAAAGGTTTGAAAAGTTCTGCAGGAAAGAATCTCCCTTAACTTTTTAACCCAGCTTTTCTCAAGTGGATGTGACCTTGAAGACTTTGTGTGTGTGACACTGTCAGCGCCCACAGAGCTGACGTCCGCTCTGCCTGGAGAGTATGCGGCAGCTTCAGACCCCTCGCTCTGTGCCTGGGGACAGATCCCCTTCCTGCTCTGGGCCAGCAGCCTAGCGTCCCCCACACCCGATACCGATACCGGACACCCAGCAGCCCTCGGCACGAGCCGCGCAGCCTGGGGACATAAACAGACCGAGAGGGGGTGTCGATGCGTGGGAAACGGTGTCGGGTGGGTGGGAGGCGCTCGGGTCTGTGCTGACACCGGAGACACACTCTGTGGTCACATCCTGCAAGCTCCCCAGGGACCAGCACAGAGAGCCACCACCATGTAAATTGGGACTTAAATTTAACTCTATGTAAATGTAACTCTGTGCAAAAGTCAAGGATGGTGGAGGGCGAGTTCATGGCACAGAGAGAGGGGAGATGGGAAGCGCTTGCAAAACCGAACCCACAGATAGGTCTTGTTTGACCAGCTCGGTGTATTTTTATTTTAAAGCAGAACATCTCACATAAAAATTGGGCTTCTTATTTTTCTGCAAACTGTGGAAGATCAGACAGTGCTGAGCTCGTGTTCCACTTGGCAACAACTGGCTGGAACTGAGACAGCAGCCGCCTGTGGCAAGGCATGGCCTTTGTCCCCACTTGGATGATTTATGTTTGCTGCTTGGCCCTTAGGTGCATCTGAGTGTGAGCCTTAGACCATATTCTCCTAAGACCCTCCAGACCCCTCTAAATGCTCTCCTGGCGTCATACTTTAGTTTTAGAATTATTTTTTTCCTGGTCTTTCAAATCAAAGTTCAACCCTGACTCTCCCCTGTATAAAAGCCCCAGGGAGAGCTCCAAGTGACTCAGCGCCTGGCATTGGAGGCACTCGGTGGTCTGGTGCCACCGAAAGCCCGAGAGCTGGGCAGGAAGTTTATAAAACTATAGGTGGATGAATAGACGGAAGGACGGAGGAAAGGAAGGGAGGATTGCCAGGGAGAGAGATGACGCCCCCACAGGGTTCTCGGGCCGAAGGAAAAGGCTCCGTGAGCATCCAGAAGCCCCCATCCCCACCATGCAACCAGGCACGGCCCTCCTGGGATGGAGGGAAAGGGCCGGAGCTCAGTGGGAGAAAAGAGAAGCCATTTGGGAGAAGTGAGCACCCAGATGGCTCAAGGGCAAACTCTTTCCAGCCCAGGTGTCCGCCCAGACAGGACACCATGCATCTCCTTGGCCCCTGGCTCCTGCTCCTGGGTAAGGACCGTGGCCCAGGCTGGTACTCGGGTTCCAGGATGTCAGCGGGTACTGGAGAAGGAGGAGGGGCCCGGGGTGGAGAAGAGTAAACGCGGGGCGGGCGGGGCAGGCAGTGCGCAGTATGGACATAGACGCGGACCCGACATGCTTCTGTCTCTGTGCACCTCCCTCTCGCCCCCGCGACCCTCGGAGGGATTTCTTGATCCCTTTGCAAGCCCTCGCGCCCCCTCAATAACGCTTTCTCATCACTGCGGTGAGTTTCAGAATGCTTGGCTTTCTCTGACTCTCACAAATGGAGTTTTTATCACCCCCACACCGTCTACGCCTGGGAGGGGGCCTGCGTCTGGATCTCCTGCAAGTACACGACCCCGAAGTCCGAGGACCTGGAAAACGTCACCGTGTACCACAACGCCGAGTACAGCAGCGTCACCAAGAGCTACAGTGGGACCATCCTCTACAGGACCACGAAGATCGGAGAGCCTCCCTCCCAGCAGGAGAGGGTGCGATTCCTGGGAGGCACAAAGAACAACTGCTCCCTGAGCATCAGCCGGGCGCACGTCAACGACAGCGGGAGGCTAGGGCTGAGGATGATGTCGAAGACGGACAGATGGATGGAGGAAATACACCTCAACGTCTCTGGTAAGGCCTTGGGGCAGGGGCCCCTCTGCCGCGGGCAGGGGTGAGGAGGGAGATGGCAAAAACCCAGCTCCTGGAACGGGGGTCACAAACCAGCCGCAGAGGTCAGGCAGGGGACGCGAGCGGGGAACGCGGGCAGCACAAGAAGAGGCTGCGGCCAACTGCGGCACGGGCCGCTTGTCCCGCCTGCCCCTCCTCTCCTGCTCGTGCCGGAACCTGGGTTCCACGTTGCCAGATTTCCTGATTTTTCAAAAGAAAACGGGAATCTGGGTTTGCAAGTGAAATCTCCCAATGTGTTCATGCTGGTGACTCACTCTAATGAAGGCTCCAAGGCTAGATGACACACACGTGGACGTGAGACACAGGTCTGAGACCTCCACCCTAGAGAGTGCGGTCGCTCCATTCCACGGCCTGTTTCTTTGGTGGACAGTTCTAGAGCAGCGCTCTGTTTGGGGCGAGGGATGCTGTTTCAGACCCTGCGGTCTGAAGGGTGGTCCAGGCGGGCGCAGAGCTGGCACGGACCCATCCTGCTAAAGAAATGCTTTTCTCGGGTGTCTCCAACGCTGAGGCCACTCAACAAACACAGTTTTGTCATCAGAGCTCAAAAATACGTGTTGAACTGAACTGGTCAAATTCACTTCGGGCTGGTGGGAGGAATGATCTTGCAAACATTTAGAAAGCAAACACCCGAGATGAGAATGCGATGGGTATCGAATACGATTCCCAAGGAGGTTTGGTGTTGCCAAGGCCTTTCAGAGAGGGTTTTGGCTGAACAAGCACGACTCATAGCGGAGAAGGGCAGGACTGGAGAGAGGCGGAACGGACCGGCAAGGGCTTCCTGAGGGTCATTTGGGACGGGACGTCTAAAGCCAGGCGTCTGCACCCACCCTCGCCCCCCAGGCCTCAGGCACGGCCTCCACTCTTTTTGCAGAAAGGCCTCTCGTACCTCGCATCCGGCTCCCTCCAGAAATTCGAGAGTCCCAGGAAGCCACTCTGACCTGCTGGCTGAATTTCACCTGCTTTGGGTACCGGACCCAGTGGCAGTGGTCCCTGGAAGAAGAGCCTGCTGACCCCTCGACCTCCACCACCGCCACGACTGACTTAATCCAGAGCGAGCTCAAGTTCCAGCCGCAGTGGCGTCACCACGGGAAGAACGTGACCTGCCAGCTCTGGAGTGACAGGGAACAGCGGGTGCTCTCCGAGGAGACGGTGCGGCTGGACGTGAAGCGTGAGTCTCCCAGTTGCGCCCGTGGGAAGGATGAAGTCCCTGTCGCCTTCTCCCCAACCCCACAGTGGGCATGAGCCTCGGGTAAGAGGAGCCCGCCCAGAAGGCCGGGGAATCAATCTGTGGTCACCCGCAGCAGGGAGCGGCCACACAGAGCCTCTTCCCTCTGCCACTGTCCCTCTGGTCAGCCCTGTGTTTCAGGACGTAGAGTCATTTTAGCCTCTCCTTCGGCCAAACAGAATAAATAATCTTATCCTCAAGCCAGGGCATGATTTGGGGATTATCTGGTTAGGTTTCTTTGTTCTGCCTTGGGGGGAAGATTTTTTCCCGTTATTATTTTGTGTCTCATTCCTTCATTCAATAAATATCCGCTGTGAGCCTGCTAGGGGCCGGGCCTCGTTCTGGCTGCCGGCTGGGGGTGGGGAGGGTGGGCAACAGCAGTGAGCATCGTTCTTGCCCACGCGGAGCGGGCACGGCAGTCAGGGGGACGACAGTGAATGGATTAACAGAGAGAATCTAGAACATGACTGCAGGCAGGGACACATGACTAAGAAAAATAAGGCAGGTGAGGGCAGGGGCGTGACGGGCGGGGACCTCTCCAAGTAGGGGGAGCACTGAGGCTGACTTGGGGAGGGAATAAGTGTGAAGAAGGTTCCGGGAGTGGAAAAGAGCAAGGCAACGCCTGGAGGTGGGACTGGGAGAGCAGGGCCAGAGAGCGGGAGAGGAAGCAGGCGAGCGGGCTGCGGGAGGGGTTTGGGATTTGATCGTAGGTGTGGAATCCGCCGAAGGGCTCCGAGCAAGGACTGAAAGGCCTGGCTGGCGGTATTAGGAATCCTGCCGGTACCCAAGTGGGAAGGGGGAAGCAGGGAGCTGAGGTAGGAGGCCGTGACAGCCACCCGGGTGAAGGGACCAGCAGGCCACTGCTGTGTCAGAATAGAAGCACTGCCACCTCTCACACTGCCCGCCCTCTGAGGACTCCCTGTCCCCTCCCTGCGGTCCCTCTGCTCCTCCAGACCGCCCGAAGTTGCAGATCACCGTCAGTCCCCGTGAGGCCACCGTCAAGGAGGGGGACTCCGTGAGCATGACATGCAAGGTCGTCAGCAGCAACCCAGAGCACCGGACCGTATCCTGGCTCAAGGACGGGGCCCCGCTGAGCGTGCAGGAGACACCCACGCTGACTCTGCACCCCGTGGCCAGGAACATGAGTGGGCAGTACAGCTGTCAAGCCTCCAACAACTTGGGCACAAGCGAGTCAGGCAAAGTGGCCCTCGAAGTACAGTGTGAGCCTCTCGGAGCCGGGGAGGGGCAGGGAGTCGGTGCGGGTGGACCCAGGCCCCGGAGAAGTGAGCAGAGGGGGCTCTCGTGGTCGGAGCGCTCGCCTCACCTCCCCACCTGCCTCTGCCCCTTCTTCCAGATGCTCCAGAACCTTCCACAGTTCAGATCCTCCAGTTACCCGTTATTGAGGGAAAAACAGTAGAGCTGATGTGTACCTCACGGGCCAACCCTCCTCCGACCAACTACACCTGGTATCATGATGGGAAGGACGTGCCGGGGAACACGGAGAAGACCCTGTGGATCCCAGAAGTCCTCCTCTCGCACGCAGGGACTTACTCCTGCTTGGCGGAAAACGCCCTTGGCCTTGGGCAGATCGGCCCAGGGGCTGAGCTGGATGTCCAGTGTGAGTAGCCACAGAGCCCCCAGTTCCAGGGAGAGGAGACGGAAGCGGGGGAAGGAGGAAGGCAGTCGGGGCGCAGGGAGTTCCTCGGCCCCGGAATGAAGCGCAGGCAGAAGCCGGGGCCTCCTGAGATAGAAGCTTCTTGGGGCAGGGACTTCGTTGCCATTCGCGGGTGTATTCCCGGCGCCCAGAGCAGGGCCTGGCCATGGCGGGTGCTTGTTAGATGTTGTTGAATGAATGAAATGCAAGACGCCAGGGCTCCGTGGGGGATGCAGCCGCTGAGTCCCAGAAGAGGTCCTGAAGTTTTTGAGGAGAACCGGGATAAACACAGTGAATCTTGTCACTGAGTGGAGCCCAGGACAAAAGGAACCCATAGGCTTGATCCTTGGACCCCAAGATGTCACATGTGCTGATGGAGATGCCCAAATCCTGAACATCTAGACAGCCGGATATACAGTAGCAGCAGCAGCAGCAGCGATGATCTAGTGTTTTCTATGCACCACGCTGTGCTCTAAGGGCATCATCTCGTTTCACCCTTGTAGCGATTCCACGAGGTTAGGTCCTCTCCAGACCCCATTGGACAGCTGGGTAAACCGAGGCCTGCAGCCCATGGCCTTGTGGCTCTCAGTGGCTGGGTCTGGCAGTCTGTCCCCAGCGCTGCGCTTTGAACTGCTGTGCCATCCTGCCTCAAACCACAGCCAGGCAGGGCTTCCATCCTCACACAAACGCAGGGGGGAGGCACCGCCTCCTTTGACGAATTCGGGAACTCTGAGAATGCAGGGGGGAGGTGGGCGAGACAGGAAGCAGGAAGGGAAAGGTGATACTGGACAAGCTGGCTTTTCTTCGCTCACCTGTCTGGTTTTCTCCTAGATGCCCCCAAGAATGTGACCGCGGTGATTCAAAACCCCACACCGATTCGAGAAGGAGACCGTGTGACCGTTTCCTGTAACTACAATTCCAGTAACCCTAGAGTCACCCGGTACCAGTGGAGCCACCGGGGCTCCTGGGGCCAGCAGTCGCCTGGGCTGCTGGTGATTCAGAAAGTCGCCTGGGATGACAAGACCGTCACCTGCGCAGCCTGTAACAGCTGGTGCTCATGGGCGCCCCCTGTCAACTTGAACGTCCACTGTGAGTTCCCGGACTGGGCAGAGGGATCTGGGAAGTGGCCCAGTTGGGACATGAGGATCGAAGGGCGAGAACGGAGCCTGGACCAGCTTCTTTGACGGAATTGAGGGACGAGAGCCAGGCCTCAGGGCCAAGGGGAGAGGAAGCCCTGGGGACAGCGAGAGGGACAGGGAGCTGGGAGGTCAGCCTGAGGCCCTTGCCCTCTAGATGCCCCCAGAGACGTGAGGGTCCTGCAGACCAACCCCCGTCCCGAGATTCACTCTGGACACCCGGTCGTTCTCCAATGTGACTTCTCAAGCAGTCGCCCCGGAGAAGTCCGCTTCATCTGGAAGAAAAACGGAAGCTTTCTGGGGGAAGGAAGAGAACTCAGCTTTAACTCCGTCTCCCCGGAAGATGCTGGAAATTACAGCTGCTCGGTCAGCAACTCCATAGGACAGACGGCGTCTGAGGCCTGGGGGCTCCAAGTGCTGTGTGAGTGGCCGGTGCTGGAGGCTGGGGGAGGGGCAGAAAAGGGCAGGGGACCGGCTGCCTGGTGCTGACTTTGTTTCCCTTACAGATGCACCCAGGAGGCTGCGGGTGTCCATGGCCCCGGGAGACAGCGTGATGGAGGGGGAGAAGGCAGCCCTGACGTGCGAGAGCGATGCCAACCCTCCCGTCTCCCAGTACAGCTGGTTTGACTGGAACAACCAGAACCTTCGCCATGCGGGCCGGACGCTGAGGTTGGACCCCGCAAAGGTCGAGCACTCGGGCGCCTACTGGTGCCGCGGCGCCAGCCGGCTGGGCGTGGGCGAGTCGCCCCCTAGCACGCTCACCGTCTACTGTAAGGCCCTGCCCTCTCCCCAGCCCTCCGGCTCCCTCTTCCTACCTCCCCTCTGTCCCTCCCGACCCTCCAGGGCTCCCTGGCAGGCTGGGCCCTTCTCTCTCCCTCCCTCTGTCTCGCCCTTGACAGCCTCCTTATTTTTATCTTCTGAGACGTTAGTGCTTTTTAAAAAAGATAATACAAGCACACGGTAGAACAATTTTTTAAAGCACAAGATGGTAACCAGTGGAAACAGACGCCTGTCACCCTTGATCTCGGAGAACTCTGGTCCCCTCCCTAGAGGCCCCAGCTGTGCGCAGTGATGCCACCTCCTCCCGGGTCCTTCTGCGCATGCGCGGTACCTGCAGCCAGGTCTACGTCGCGCACCCTTCTCTGTGACACAGAGGGCAGCGGAGCTCACACTCCGCCCCGGACTTTTCTTTTTTCCGGGTAATAATACCGCTTGGAGACTGCTCTGTCTGTGTGTACAGAGCATCTGAAGAGTCTGGAAACGTAGGGGGGATATTTAATTTATTTGTTGTGCTGTTTCAGACCAATGATGGGGGCCGTGGCTTTAAATTTAGAGGATCGTCGCCTGCAAAGCCAGGGGCGACAGGAAAACGTCCTGAGCATGTTGTAGGGGAACGTAACAGACACGCTGCACAAAATCCCTGTGCCCTGAGTCTCCACTTTCCAGACACCCCGAAAAGTGCCGCTTTTTCTCGGGGCTGCACCGCGCCCCGTTGTGTGACTGTCGATGCCTCCTACGGCAGCCTCTTGCGCTGGGCGTGTCTGCGAGGGCAGCCGCCAGATCAGTTTCCACCGTGCGGCCAAACCGCCCCAAAGGTTGCGCCCGTGTTCGAGGGTGCGGGTCGCGGGCCGTGTGTGCCGCATCCGTGGGAAGGCGGGAGCCCCTCGGGATACAGAGCGAGCCCTGGAGGGCAGGGGCCGGCTTCTCCCTCCTTCCTGCCCCGTCTCCCACGCGCGGAGGCGAGAAGGGCTGGACGCAGAGGGAAGCCGAGATGCCTTCCGGGCCGGCGCTGCAGGCCAGAGCTGCCCCTTCGCTGATCGAGGTCTCTCCCTTCTCCACCAGATAGCCCGGAGACCATCGGCAGGCGGGCGGCCGTGGTCCTCGGGCTCTGCCTGGCTCTCCTCATCCTGGTCATCTTCGGGGTCAAGTTTTGGCGGAAGTGAGCGCCTCCCGCTGCCCACCCACCCCCCGCACTCTCCCTCGGCTGGACGCGCGTTGCTGGGTGCTCAGTCCCGAAGCCTGCAGCCGAATCCACGGGGTCCCGTCCCCGTTCCCTGGACCCTCACTGACGTGCCTTTATTTCTTAGCTGGAAGAGGAGCCAGAGCCAGCAGGGGCTTCAGGAAAATTCCAGTGGTCAGAGTTTCTTTGTGAGGAATAAAAAGGTAGGATGGAGAAGGTTGAATGCAGGGCAGACCTTGAAGTCAGGAGAAGAGCCGAGGTGGGGGGGGTGCTGCAGAGTCCTCTGGGGAGATCGGGGCTGCCGGGGGCCGGGGGAGGGGACTCGGGCTGGGGGAAGAGTGCTCAGAGCTTCCGCCTTGTCTCCCCCCAGATGAGAAGGACCCCCCTCTCTGAAGGCTCCCACGCCATGGGGTGCTGCAACCCGGTAATGGAAGACGGCATCAGCTACGCCGCCTTGCGCTTCCCCGAGACCGACACACCAGGAACCGGGTACCGAGGGTCCTGGGAGGGTGACTCGCCTGCCCTACCCGGCGCCAGGCACCGCCGTACACTCATTACCTCATTCCTGCTCCGTGACCACCGTCCGGGTGGGTGACGGTCTCTGCAACTGAACGTGCTTTTCCAAGTCAGGGGCGTGCAGGCCCAGAGTTGGTCTTTATCTCAAAGATCAAGACCTCGGGGCAGAGGCCTCTGCTCACGCCAGCAGGCGGCTGGCGTTTTTAGTGAGCACTGGGCACTCTGGAGACAGCAGGTTACTCTTACGTAAGGCGCGGAGGGTGGGGTGCTGTTGAGGGGCCGGGGGAGTCGGGAGGAAGAGGAGCGTTCACGGGAAATGCTTCTTTGTGGTCATCCATCTGCACCCCGCCCCTCCAGAGATGCGGGGAGCTCAGGGATGCAGGGGCTTCGCCAAGACGGCAGCGACGCGGTCACTTACTCGGTGGTGCAGAAGCGCCGCGTGGTAAGAGGGCGGAGCTGTGGACGGTGGGGGCAGTGGTGGGGGGAGCCTCGGTCCTGCCCACGGGAAGGGCTTGGGCAGATGCTGGGCGGCGGCGGGGGAGGGTTGCTCAGGCAGAGGTGGGCAGAGCCAGGGCAGGTGCCGCCACGGCCAGGTTCTGCACAAGAGGACTCCCACGCTGGCTTTTGGGCTACTGGGGGGGGGCGGGGGAGGGGGGACCCAAGGAGAAGAGGGGCAGAGGCAGCGGGTGGGAGGCTGGGACTGTGAGGCCAAGCTCCCCACCGTGTGGCTTCCCCAGGGCGACTATGAGAACGTGGCTCCAAATTCTCCAGAAGACGAGGGGATTCACTATTCAGAGCTGATTCAGTTTGGGGCCGGGGAGCGGCCTCGGGTGCGGGAGGATGTGGAGTACGTGACCCTCAAGCACTGATGCTGACGGCTGTGGCAGGGCCGCCTGGGGCAGCAGGGGCCAGAGAAGCCCCAGAGCTCCCTGGGCCACTGCGGCTCAGCTGCTGCCACGTGACCTCCTCCGCGCCCCCCACCCCCATCCTCTCCCCTCCACGCTCACTGCGGAGGACCTTATTCCTGGCCCAGAGACAATCTGTTCAGCACTGGTGACCCCAGCCCTCCAAAGGGCCTGTCCCTGGTCTTTTCCCACTGTCCTTCCTGCCCAGAAACTCACGTACACACCTGCCCCCACCCCAGCCATCTGCCACCATCCCCCCCTCTCAAGCCCTACCCCCAGCTGGCTGTGTCCCTGTTGGGATCAACTTGTCATCATTTCTCCTTCTTCCCGTCCCTATCCCTGGGACCCTTCCCCTGCTCTGACATCCCTATTCACTAATTTCAAGTGCAATTTCTGCATCTCGAGAAAAGTCTGGAAAAGGACAGAAATGGGGTAGAAAGAGGCACCGTCCCGAGCTGGCTTCTGCTCTGGAAATGTGTCCCCATGTGGGCAAGGCGTTCTGTGGGAGGGATCGCACTGCCGCGGCCCCGTGCTCGGGGCCCCCGGGGCCTGGGACTGGCAGGGGTGTGATACACGTGTACCGGCCAGAGAACTGCACAATAAAAATGGCTCAGATGCCACTTCAAAGGACCAGAGAGCTCCTTCCGGTCTGTGAGTCAGAGCGCAGAGGGAAGGTGGGGACGGCATCATGGGGGCCCGGGGAGGAAGAAAAGGAGTCCCAGCAATCTTGTGATCCACTCAGCAGATCGGAGGGTCCGCTGTCTTGTTAGGAAAAGTGCGCGAGCTCTGAGGGCAGACGAGCATGAGTTTGACCTTGGCCCTTCTATTCGACTAGCCGAGTGATCTTGGGCAGGGTTCACCGACTCCCCCGAGCCTCAGTTTCTTCACCTGTAAAATGGAGACACCACTGCCTACCATGCAGGTGGTTCAGGATAAGAAATGTGGAGTGATCTTATCTATGCTGGCGCCACGTTATAAGAAGCCTAGCACAGAAGCCAAAAGTCCCTAAAAAACAAATTCCCACCCCCTTTTATTTGCATTTCTCGAAGAATGTAAAAGGGGAAGCCGATTCAATACTCACAGCTATTCTCAAGAATGAACCTACCAAGCTCTTGCACAACCCACAGCTGCTTAAAAAAAGTCTTGAAGGCGAACGGCTGTTTGCTACTATCTTCACCGAGTCAGACTTTCCGGTTAGTTTGACCTCTCACCCGGCCACCTGCTTCTGCCAAGGGGCTAAGTCACTCTCCTCAGAGGGCAGAAACCTGCGATTAGCCAGTCGCCAAGGTGAGGAACGTACAGTTCCTGGCACACAGCAGGTGCCCCCAAAGTGCCACCTTCCTTTGTCACGCCCGCTCAGTACAGGAATGGCGACTGTTGCGACTGCGGCAGAGCGAGGCACCGATTCACCCGCCAGTCCGCTTTGTCCCCAGTTTGATTTCTTGTGAGCACCATTAACTTTTCTGGAGGAAGGTGAAACTTCGAGAACGGTTTATGAGAGAGAGGGGGAGAGTTTTGTGGTTTCTGTACCCAAAACGAGGTCCACTGTCATTCAACCGTTCCTCCGTTCATCCCGCAAACATTTGCAGAGCTCCTGCCGGTGCATCCGGCACACAGCCAGTTGTTGGGGCAGAAACAAGATAAAACGTGGTACCAATCTTGGGCATCTCTAGTCCAGTCTGGGGCCCCAAGAGTTTGAGGGCAGGGTCCCCTCCGGGGAGCTGCAGCAGCGCTGAGCCCAATGGGCCTGGCGCAGGCTCCCGGCAACCATCAAGTGCCTTCTCATCCTGTCCCTCCCTGCACCCAGCTGCTGACATAAACCCACTTCGTGACGGATTGACCACGAGACGCGGTCGCCAACAGGCATTGCTGAGGCGTGATGAGCAGGTGGCCAGGAAGCGCGGAGGCAGCCTCCGCCCGCCCCAGATCTCACTGTCCTCCCAGGGCCCAAGCAATCTGCCATTCACCAGGCCACCTGAGCACCTACTACGCAACACGCGGTGGACCACGCCGACGAAATCTTTGCCTCCCAAGGCCAGAGTCCTAGCAGAACAGCTGACAAACACGACAGAGGAGGGAAGGGTCGGTTTGGATGGAGGGATCAAGGAAGGCCCTCCGAGGAGGTGACCTGCTGGGAGGGGGCCGCAGCAGGGAGCCCTCGAAGACTGATGTCTTCCCGGAGTGGCATTCCTTTCCATTCGTCCTCAGTTCCGTCAGTTTCTCAGCGTCTCCCAAAGACAAAACACTCAGCGACAGGCAGCGAGGTCTTGTGCGTTCACAGAGAGGCGCTGCGCCACCTGGAAAGCAGGCGAACGAGAACCCAGTTAGTGACTTTTCCTCCAGGTAGGAAAGGAATGAGACCATTTCGTTGCAGGGGTTGTTGATATGCTGGGAATCCCGCGCCGCTTCCACCGGGAGCCTTGGGAGAGGAGCTTCCAGCAGCTTCTCATGGGTGACTTGGAATTCCGAAGGGGCATCACAGTCTGGTGACCGACACACACACCTGAGGTAGCAGAGACAGACAGACAGCAGAAAGACAGACACAGGCACAGAGATGGAGCATCACAAAGGCAGTTTCTTTCCCACTGGCAGATGTGGGCCGCATCTGAGAGAGGGCCAGCTAGGCGCTATTTGAAATCTGGCTCAGGAGGTCTCCTGGGAGGGCCAGGAGACCCCAACGGGGAGGCGAATGGCCGGCCGGATGCCCAGGGCCGAGAGAAGGAGGCTGAGCGGCTGGCTTGGGGCACACGTCGCCTGTGCCTGCAGCCTGTGCGAGCTGCACCTGGCGTCACTGCCACGCGGAGATGGCTTGCGTGACCGCAGTCACTGGCGTACTCTTCACGTCCAGGAGTTTGCCCGTACGGCACCGGCCTGCCCAGGAGTTCGTCCCGGAGTAGGGAGGGCCTGGCCCCCCGCAGCGAGTGCAGTGGGGAGGGGCAAAGCCAGGTCCTGGCTGTACCCCACAAGCCCTGCTCCTTCCGGTACTGGCTCTATACACCCTCACCCCACCCAGACCAAACCCAGACTCCTCGCCTCGCCCCCTTCTGTGTCCCTGTCACCTTCTTAGCTCCTCACCTCCTCCCATGCAGCCTCAGCTCCAGCCCGGACGCCCCATTAGCTGCTCACCCAAGCTGCGCGCGCCTCAGGCTAATGGCCCTGCCCTGCCCCCTTCTCTCCCTTCCGGCTCACTGCCCAACCCGGCATCCTCCACCAGCCCAGCGAGGGGACTTCTGAGCCTCAGAGACATCTGGCAGCGCCAAGAGGTGAGTCCCTCTTTCTGCAGCTCCTCTCCGCACCCGTGACGATTCCCCAGGCCCCAGAGCCCCTGTCGGGGTGCCCCCCGGGGCTGCTAAGGTCATGCCCATGACCCTGAGGGCACCCAGCTTCCCCTTGGGCTCTCCCCCGGGGGTCCCCTTTGCCTGCCCCTCGCCGCAGCCCCCATCACATCCAAACCCCAATTGCTCCTCCCTGCCCTGCAGGCTCTCTGCCGCGGGGAGCGGCTCCTTCTCTTGCCGGGGAACTGGGGGCAGGGGGGTGAGGTCAGAGGTCCAACTCCCATTCCCAGGAGAAACACGGATTGCCCGGCTGAGCCCTGTTCTCGGTTCCCTCCACCCCTTCTCCCCACAGGCTCTCAGAAATCGGGGCTCCTCCCCTCTTCCGGGACCTGCGTGGCTAAGTTCTGTCTTCTCGGTTATCCCACAGGTGCTCTCTCCATCTTGGCAGGGGACCTGGTGGACAGACCGCAAGGGACTGAGGGCCAGCAGTCCTCGCGTCCCATGCAGGCTCCGCTGCTGCCCGGCGGCCAGTCCTCCCACGCGCCTCTGTTCCAGCTGTTCACTGATGGCTCCTGCTTCTCGGAGCGGTGCTGAGATCCGCGTGTGAGCCCAGGAGCCCGGGAGCCCGGGAGATCTGAGCTCAGAAGCCACCTGGGCCGGGAGCCAGAGGACCGGGCCGGCCCCATGTACCTGCCACCGCAGCTCGCCTTCGCCCTGTACGCGGCCGCCTTCGCGCTGGGCGTCCCGCTCAACGCCCTGGCCATCCGCGGCGCCGCGGCCCACGCGCGGCTGCGCCTCACGCCCAGCCTGGTGTACGCCCTGCACCTGGGCTGCTCCGACCTGCTGCTGGCCGCCTCCCTGCCGCTGAAGGCGGTGGAGGCCCTGGCCTCGGGAGCCTGGCCGCTGCCCGCCCTGCTGTGTCCCGCCTTCGCGGTGGCCCACTTCGCGCCGCTCTACGCGGGCGGCGGCTTCCTGGCCGCGCTCAGCGCCGGCCGCTACCTGGGTGCGGCCTTCCCCCTGGGCTACCAAGCCATGCGCAGGCCGCGCTACTCCTGGGGGGTGTGCGTGGCCATATGGGCCCTCGTCCTCTGTCAGCTGGGCCTGGTCTTTGGGCTGGAGGCTCCGGGAGACTGGCTGGGCATCAGCACGCCGGTCAACGGCTCGGCCGTCTGCCTGGAGGCCTGGGAGCCAGCCTCAGCCGGCCCGGCCCGCCTCAGCCTCTCGCTCCTGCTCTTCTTTCTGCCCTTGATCGTCACGGCCTTCTGCTATGTGGGCTGCCTCCGGGCGCTGGCTCGCTCAGGCCTGAGCCACAGAAGGAAGCTGAGGGCGGCCTGGGTGGCCGGCGGGGCCCTGCTCACACTGCTGTTCTGCTTAGGCCCCTACAATGCCTCCAACGTGGCCGGCTTCCTGCACCCCGACCTGGGAGGCCAGTGGCGGAAGCTGGGGCTCATCACGGGTGCCTGGAGTGTCGTGCTCAACCCGCTGGTGACCGGTTACATGGGAAGGGGTCCCAGCAGGGGCACGGTATGTGCAGCAAGAACGCAAGGAAGAATATCCCAGAAGTAACAGTCCCTGCTGTGGGGAAGGAGCACAGAGCGGGAGAGGCTGGTCGCTTCTCCAGGCCCCTGGTGGGGGCTGCTGCAGAGAAACCGCGGGGCGGCCTTGCCCAGGGGCACCCGTGGAGCCACTTGTGGAAACAGCTCAGCCTGGCAAGGCAGCACCCCCGGCCGGGGAGAAGAATGGAGGCCGGGAGCAGGGCCGCAGGGGGAAGGTAAGTTCTCCTCCTGGCCTCGGCCTCTCCCCTCCGTGCGTCCCCACCTGCCTGTGGGCAGAGGCTCTGTGCTCAGAGGAAGGAGAGAAGTTGGCTTCTCGTCTAGAGGAACTGCCACTCCGATGATGCACTTTAGGAGATGCTACTCGGAAATCATTTGAGGAAAAAGCCTAAGGCAGAAGGCAAGACAATGACGCTGTTATACTATTTTGCGCTCACAAGGGGGCAGCATTAGAGCTGTGTGCAGGGAGTTGGTAGGAAAAGATGCTTCGGCAGGGGGAGACCAAGTACAGGCAAAATGAGCAGTAGCTGCAGCAACATACAGTTGACCCTTGAGCAGTGCGGGGGGCGGTGGGGGGTGGTTAGGGGCACAGATGCCCACACAGTGGAAAATCTGTGCGTGACTTTTTTTCAAAGAGCACCCATAATGCTTGTATAACTTTTGACTCCCCCCAAAACTTTTTAACTAAAACTTTTTAACTAGTAGACTGCTATTGACGGGAAGCCTTACCAATGACCATAAAGTCAATTAACACATACTTTGTGTGTTGTATGTATCATATGCTGTATTCTTACAATAAGGTAAGCTAGAGAAAAGAAAATGTTATTAAGAAAAGCATAAGGAAGAGAAAATACATTTACAATACTATAGTGTATTTCTTGATACCGTAAATTTACATCGTCTGCTTGCAAGATGAACCGTCTGTCTGGAATGGCGGGCTCTTGCAACTTCAGACCTCGAACTATGGGACATATCAAGCAGTTCAACTTTTTCTTGTAGTGTCATGACTTCTCTGCTTTTTGGGAGCCCTGACAGTATAACTAGTGGCACTTCACAGAAGTCCCAGCAGGTTATTCAAGGTTTATGGTATTGCACTAAAGACAATGAAAAATACACAAGAAGTATGGGAGATCACTTTCTACTTCAATGCACAACATACTGGAGAGAAAAATTGCTCACGAGGAGACGATTAGTGTCATATGGCATTTTAAGCAGACTCCTAAAACAATTCATCTCACTAAGGTAGCAACAGGAGGTGGCTACGAAATTATTACAGTGGTACATTCTGTACTACAGTAATTTTATGTAGTTACGATTTAATATTGCATCTTTATGTCTGTTTACACTTCCGCTGACTGCGAATGGCACTATAGTCTGTGTTTGAGTGCATAAGTTTTTGATACATATTAACTTTTCATAGTAGATTCGTGTATATGTTACGGTAGTAAATGATTAAATAAACTAGCATCTACATGTTTTATGCATTCATGACATAACTTTTCTTATTTTTTTAAATATTTCTAGGCTTTTGACTGAGAATTTTTTCAAATCGTCAAAAATCTCCAAGAAATTTTCTGATATATTTATTGAAAAAAAATCCACGTATAAGTGGACGCACACGATTCAAACCTGTGCTGTTCAAGGGTCAAGTGCATAGCCTCTGACACGCCCAGGCATCACACGGAGCACTGTACAACGAGTGCTGATTCATCTCATCCCCGCATAGCGCTTTGACTTGGCCACGCGACTGCCGTGCGAATGGGCAGGGGCCACTCCGTGAGGGTGCCAGGCAGAGGGGCAAACGCTGACTAAATTAGCTCGTGCTTTGCTCACCAAACCACGTGCCTGCCTAGCTTCCATTCCAGGGAAGGAGCATCTCATTCTGACTTGAGCAAAGACACCACCGACTCCTTGGGCCGTGCACCTTGATGTAGGGCGTGCTCCCCTGGAAGGGGCTGCCTTTTCCTAACTTGTAAAAAGGTGCTGCGTGAAGTAGCTATAGTCCTCGAACGGGGCTGAGAAACTTGCCTGAGGCCCTACAGCAAGGAAGAGGTAGAGGTAGGGTGTGATCCTTCCAAGCAGGACCCCCAAAGGCCGGGGAACATCTGGAAGACTGGGGTATTGGAGTTAATGCCTGTACTTGTGGTCCATTTTGCAAAGGTGAAGGGTAGCACCCCAAATCCCTGAGAGGGAGGGCAGAGGAGAGGGCCATGAAGGAGACAGACACCCCAGCATGCGCTCTGATGAGGCGAGGTGTGGGAATCAGACCTATTTCTATAACGACAATAGTACCATGAATATATGTGTAGGAGCACAGCAAGCGACAGCTGTGTGGTTGCTGTGCTCAAACCAGTGCATCCAAATGGTCTCTTTCATGCTTAAATGCCTGCAAGGGCAAAGATCTTTGTTTATTTGATGACGTATTCCCAGAACCTAGAAGACAGACTGGCACATAGTAGGTGCTCAGTAAATGTTTGCAGAATGACTGAATGAATGCTCCTAATAGCCCTCCAAAGAAGGTTCTATTATTCTTGTTGTGTAAGTGTGGAAACAGTCCAGAGAAGTTAAGCAACTTTCTGTGGAAGCCGGAAACAAGCTTGGCCCCTGTGCAGTGCTAACACCAGAGAATTTCAGTAAAAGCCCAAACTCCAAGCCCAGGAGGCCCCCCTGGCTCCCTCTACTTCTCCTCCCCCACGCCATAGTGCCAGGGACCACTCTGTCCTCCCACAGCTCCGAGCACCAGCGGGTGCTGGGCCACCTTGCCTGCTCACCTGTGCCTCCTCCCGTTTAGGGGACAATCCAGTTCCTCTCGGGGCCCGTGAGGCTGGCATAACCCACCCCAGCCTCCTCTGGCCCCTTGAGCCCCAAACCTTCCACCAGTTACCCCAGTGGGTGAAGCAGCCCTCGCACCCGCCACCCCTCCACCCGCACTGTTTTCCCCAGTGGCTCCTGGCCAATGTCCTGCTAATGTCTTCATTCCCCTCCCCCACTCCACGCCTCCAGCCCCACCTCCACCAAATATAAGCACCATGACAGCAAAAACATTGTATTGCTCACTGCCGCACTTTTAACAACTTAATTGAGATTTAATTTTCATATCATAAAATCCACCCATGTTAAATGTCCAATTCAATGTTTTTTTAGTAAATTTACTAGGTGTGCCTCCATTACTATAATCTAGTTCTAGAACATTTTCAATACCCCAGTAAGATCCCTCATACTCATTTACATTTAATCTCTATTTCCACCCCCAACCCCCAGACAACCACTAATTTTCTGTCTCTATAAAATTGCCTCTTCTGGACATTTCATATAAATGGAATCATGGAACATATGGTCTTCTATGCCTGGCTTGTTTTTCTTCGTATAATGTTTTTGAGGTTCATCCGTCTTGTAGTGTGTATGGGTCATTCATTCCTTTTTGCTGCCAAATGGAATTCCACTGTCTGGATGCGCCACCTTCGTTTAACCATTCCCTAACTGACGGACCTCCCGGTGATGTTCCCACTTTTGGCTATCACGACTACTGCCGCCATGAACACTTATTAGCAAGTCTTCATGTGGACACGTTTTCATTTCTCCTAAGCAAATACCTATGGCGGAATTTCTGGGTCACGTGGCAAATTTACGTTTAACTTTCTAAGAAATTGCCAACCCGCTTTCCAAAGCAGCTGCACCATTGTACATTCTCACCAGCAATAAACGAGGGCTCCCTTCCTCCACGTCCTCGCCGACGCTGGGTATGGTCTGACTTCGCGCTTACGGTCATCCTGGTGGGTACGAAATGGTATCTCATGGGGCTTCATAAATAGTTGCATGAACAAATAAATCAGCTCTGGAGTTGGACAGAGCTTGGGTTGGGGCTCTGGTGGTGATATTTAACAAGCGTGTCACCTGCGGCCAGTCACTTCCCCATGGCGAGGCAAAAGGATTTCACGACATCATGGTGACGCCCCGAGAAGCAGGGTCTCTGCTGTGGATAGTGCAGCCACTAAAAGGCAGCTGCCATCATCATCACCACAATCATCATCATCATCACCATTATTATTATTAATACCCTCACCCCAGAGGCAAGCCCCCACCAGTGACGGGCACGATGGCAGCTAACATCTGCTGAGCACTCACCCCCACGTGCCAGACTCTGTCCAAAGCACTTGACATATCTTATTAAGGTTTTGATCCACCTGTATGTATGTCCTAACCTGCGTGTGTTAACCTTTTCATCTGTGGGACTGGTGCTATGATCGTCCCCGGTTTATAGGTGAGAAAGCAGAGACAGAGAGAGCTTAAGTCACTTGCCCCACACCACAAAGTCAGAGAGAATCAGAGTCTCATGGAGCCCAGGCCTCTGGGTCCAGAGCCCAGCTCTCCGTCACCGTGTCACGCTGCCTGTCCTTACAAGGCAAGCTGGACACGTGCCACTGTAGAGAAGCAGACAAAATTCAAGTGTAGGAAAGGGGAGGGGAGCACGGAGTCGGCTCGGGCCTGGTCGGGACGCCCCGTCCCGGGCTGCCTGAGGAGCGAGGCACGCAGTTGTGGAATTTGCTCCTCTTTGCATACTGACGCGGCCCTGGTAACGGAGCTCAAGGCATCTTTTGTGCCGTTGTCCAACAGCGAGTGACGTCACGGGCACGGCCAGGTCTTTATCAGCTCTGTCAGATAAATAGCTAGCCACACTTGCTCCGGAGCAGACGGCAAGGTGCCGTGTGGCAGAGCACTTGGGGCCTCAGAGAAGCGGGTGAGCCTGGGCCCCAGGGGCTGCGGGGAGCCCCCTCGGTGCCTGCTCTGCTGTGGGGGGGGACAGGAGACAGGGCAGGATCCGGAAGACGGGCAGGCTGGGTCCGCTGGGGAAAGTGTCTGCAGGCGTGAGGGGTGGGGGGCTGACAACGTGCCCTGCTGATGGGCGACATGCTGCCGGTGAGGGGCAGGAAGACCCCACCGCTACCATCTCACCTCTGTCTGACTCTCTCTCCCACAGGGGCCACGGCCATGGGTGCAAGCTCGGACGGGTCCTTCTTCCCCGGCAATCACTGGCTCTACTTCTCTGTGTACCTCTTCACCTTCCTGGTGGGGCTCCCCCTCAACCTGGTGGCCCTGGCCATCTTTGTGGGCAAGCTGCGGCGCCGCCCGCTGGCCGTGGACGTGCTCCTGCTCAACCTGACGCTCTCGGACCTGCTCTTGCTGCTCTTCCTGCCGTTCCGCATGGTGGAGGCCGCCCACGGCATGCGCTGGTCGCTGCCCTTCATCCTCTGCCCCCTCTCCGGCTTCCTCTTCTTCACCACCATCTATCTCACCTCCCTCTTCCTGATGGCCGTGAGCATCGAGCGCTTCCTGAGCGTGGCCCACCCTCTGTGGTACACGACGCGGCCGAGGCCGGGACAGGCGGGGCTGGTCAGCGGCGCCTGCTGGCTCCTGGCCTCTGCCCACTGCAGTGTGGTCTACGTCATAGAATTCCTGGGATCCTCCCCCCACAGCCAGGGTACCAATGGCACCTGCTACCTGGAATTCCGGGAGGACCAGCTGGCCATCCTCCTGCCCGTCCGGCTGGAGATGGCGGTGGTCCTGTTCGCGGTGCCCCTCCTCGTCACCAGCTACTGCTACAGCCGCCTGCTGTGGCTCCTCGGCAGGGGCGCCAGCCAGCACCGGCGCAGGAGGGTGGCGGGGCTCGTGGCGGCCACGCTGCTCAACTTCCTCGTCTGCTTCGGGCCCTACAACGTGTCCCATGTCGTGGGCTACATCCAGGGAGAGAGCCCGGCGTGGAGGGGTTATGTGCTGCTCCTCAGCACCCTGAATTCCTGCGTCGACCCCCTCGTCTTTTACTTCTCCTCGTCCGGGTTCCAAGCGGACTTTCAGGAGGTGCTGAGGAAGCTGGGTGGGCTCCGGGGCCCCTGGCGGCAGGAGGGCAGCGTGGAACTAAAGGTGCAGGAGGAAGGCGGGAGGCAGGCGCAGGACTGCCCCCCGCAGAGAAAGGGCAGTGGGCTCTCGCAGGGCAAGCGGCCTGGGCTGAACGCTAGGTCCTCCGGGCACGAAGGTGTCGCTGGCAGAGCATCCCCCGGGCAGCTCCTTGCTCACGACAGGCAGGACCTTGGCGCGGAGGGCTGGGGACCGACGTGGCCCGGGGTCGGAGCAGGCGCCCCGCCTTCCTAAGGGCGCACGCACTGAAGCCCGACCCTTGGTCTCACTTCCCTTCCCTTCCACCCACGCCGTGGGTTCGGCTCTGGGAAGGAGTCGGTGCGAAGGACGCTCCGGAGAAGAACGAGGTCCCTCAGCCGCGGGCCAGCTCCCGTGCCTTCCTGAGGGTCGGGGGAGTGAGGAGCAGGGCCCCACGCCTGAGGGAGCTGCCCCGCGGCTCAGGACGGGAGCGGGGAGACGTCCGCCCTTCGGAGCTGGTCCTCCCGGCAGGCCGGCAGTGGAACAGGCAGGGCTCCAGGGATGAGGGCTCATTCTGCTCTCCCGTAGGCTTTTCCAGAAATTTCCCATCGCTCAATCAATTCAGATCATCAGAGACATTAATGGACAATGACAGAAGAAAAATTACCCGAATAAATTTGGAAGCGAGTAAAAAAGAATGGTCTTTTCTTCCTCTGTGCTTTGTTCTCACGGTGTGTGCGGGGCAGGTGGATCTGCTGGGACCGGTGGATGGAGGGAAAACGCCCGGACTCTGCAGGACCCGGGCTAAAGAGCACAACACCCAGCAGCTGCGAGAGGATCCGGGCTGCAGGGGTAAAAGCAGTAGCTAATCTGCCTTAAGAATGTGGCCCCGGGCGGGCGTGGCGGCTCACACCTGTAATCCGAGGAGGCCGAGGCAGGAGGATCGCTTGAGGCCAGGAGTTCAAGACCAGCCTGGGCAACATAGCAAGACCTTGTATCTACTAAAAATAGAAAAATTAGCTGGGCATGGTGGTGCGCACCTGTAGCCCCAGCTACTCGGGAGGCTGAGGTGGGAGGATCGCTTGAGCCCAGGAGTTTGAGGTTGCTGTGAGCTAGGATGACACCACCGCGCTCTAGCCCAGGCGACAGAGTGAGACCCTGTCTCAAAGCAAAAAAAAAAAAAAAAGAATGTGTCCCAACACACTATCTTCTTCTGTCCTCTCAATAACCACGTGGTGGGTACTGTTACTATCCCCACATTACAGATGGGAGAATGGCCCAGAGAAGTCAAGTCTCTTCCCTGAGATCCCACAGCTAGTTAGTGATTGCAACAGGACCGGAAGCTGGAATTTGTTGACTCCAAAGCCCGTGCCCCTAACCCACTTGGCTGTTCTTCCCTTAGCTGTGTGTCAGCCACGGTGACTGGCCCAGTCCCATGTCGTACGAAGCAGTCCAAGCAGGACAAATGTAAATAGGCCACCGTGAGAGACAGAAGGAAATGCAAAGCAGATTGCCTGTCTGTATGGGCTCGTCCTCTTCCCAGCAAAGAAACCCTCTTGCAAAAACATAAAATAATGAGCACAGTTGACGTTCGTAAGAGCTGTTGCCACTGAAGTGTGGTTGTTTGGTATGTTTTCATTTTCCCCTGAGTGGCGGTACAGAACAGACAGCTGGTCAGGGGCTCCTCTCCCAGTAAGGCAGCCAGAGATGCTGTCAGTCTGCTCTGTTTCAAAAACATGTATTGAGCGCCTACGACATACAGATGCCAGGGATTGGAGTTCAATGCTAATATTGTTCAACATCTGCTTTCTTCCTGGGGGTAAGGCTTCTGGGAGATGAGGGCTGGCCGTGGGTGGGAGATTGGGTTTCAGGAGGAAGGAGAGAGACATTGTCTCTGGAGAGATGAAGGCACGAGCCATCTCTCTGTCCCACGGCTCATCTGTCTGTCTCAAGGCACTCGGTGTCGCAGCTGCAAGCAAGGTGACGTAAACATCGGTCTGCGTGGTTCAGAGAGGGTGCAAAGGTGTGAAACCCTGCCGCTCCGGAATTGGAACCATGGACCCAAGCCTGGGAACAAAGAGGGGCCGGAAACCCTACATTCTAATGAGAGCCATGGGGGCAGGAGTCTGACTCCTCGCCAGGGTTTTAAGGAGGAATGGGAGGCCGTTCGCCTGGCGTTGCTGCCCCAACCGTCACCCAGCACCAGCCCTGCGGGCCCTGCATAAGCAAAGCAGAGGGGGGTGGGGAGGAGGGAAAGTCGTCAGAAGCCAAGGGAAAGGGCTCTCGGAGAACAGGGGGTGTGTTCTGGGACTGCAGCCCTGTGTCATCTAGGCGGGGAAGGGAGAGGGGCGGAGAGACGGTGGGCGGTGGGAGCACACGCGGGGTGAGGGAGCATCGTGCACTCTCGCTGGCTGGCAGAGGAAGCAGGTGTGAGTCTCACGGCTGGGGGGATCACAGGCAAGGGTGAAAGTCCTGGGGATGCCAGAGGGGTCAAACCAGGTAGGACCCCCCAAGACAGCCTAGAAGAATTCACATTCTGGCGGCACGAGAGAGCCAACGACTGGGCAGCTGACACGCAGCGGATACCAACAGCGACTGCATGGTAGCTAAAGCAGAGCTTCTCAAACTTTTTGCATCATTGTCCCTTTAAGGAGACTTTATATTTTATCTTACTCCACACTTTCCTCTCCCTACTTATGAAATTTCAATGCAACAAACACACTCTCTGTTTATGGGTTGTGGCCCTTTGGAAGATCACAAACCACTGTAAGCTTTGTTTTTGCTCCCCAAGAACTACTTTTCACCTTTTGGGGGCAACATCGATCCTGCTGAGAAGGCGGGAGCTAGAGAAACGGTCCCATCCAAGACGGTGGTGAAGCCTGTCTCACACAACTGTGGCCCAGCAGAGCGAGGTTCACGGCCCTGCTGCACCAAGGGAGATGACCCACCAGAAGTGCGGGGCATGTGACAACAGACAAGACGCGGTTATCACAGCATCTGAGGTCAAGGTGGAGTGAAATTTAAACGGAGCCGCGTTTGATAGGCTCAAAGCAGAGCGGGGATGAGCGTCAGGGGGTCAGCGTCCGGCCTGAGCTGAGAAGACCACTGAAGGTCCCATTTCTTCGTAAAATGCAAAGCAAAGATAAAGGTGGAATTTTGCATCTGAAAACTCCTCCTCTGAAGCTCTGGCGGGTTGAAAATCAGGCTGCTTCTCTGTGGCTCCACCAGGCGGGAGTGGGGTGTTCTATTCTTAGTGACAGGATGTCAGACAGCCAAGTTTCTGACAGTCTTTGATTTTAGAGAACTAGGTCTCTCAGCGATGTAATTTTGTTACTTAACAAAACAAGTTCTTAAAGGTTTACAAGAGGAACTTTCCTAGAAGGAAAGATTCTCCTTCACCGAAACCGAGGGCAGCGCCGTCTGGAAGGACGGGAGGAAGGGCAGACAGGCCGCGTTTCCGCCACATGTTCTGTGGGCCACCGGTGAAGTCTCAGCTTACAGGAGAACGGGGAGGAGGCTAGAAGCTTTAACTTCACCACGTGTGACCGGGAACCCAGGGAAGCTACCCACGAGGTCATTAAGACACTGGCAAAAACGGTTCAATCCACCCTGACCGAAGGCAGCGAGTGGTGAGACCGTGCAGGCTTGAGCTCAGACGACTCAATAAACCAGTGTCCGCGGCCGGCAGCGGGCGCAGCAGGAACCACCTGCTGGGGGACAGGCTGAGCTGATGCCTTTCCCCGGGTAAATGTATCACCTGGGACCAGAACCCCTGGAGTGTTCAGCGAGCGGCCTCCCCGTCTGCACATGTGCCTGGGGGCCAAGGGAAGCCGGGTCGCAGAACAGGAGCGGCCAACCCGGCTCGCCCGGATCCCGGGGAGGAGCGAGAAGGAGACCAGGCCGGGGCCGCGGACGAGGAAGGAGGCGGGGAACAGGTGAGGGGTGCCAGGAGCCTGGGGGTCTGCAAAATCAGTTGCAAAAGATCATCCAAAAGGAGGAAGCAGCGCATCAGTAAAAGTAGAAGGACGCCTGGAAGTGAGGCCACAGGTGCCGGGAATCAGAAGTGGGAGACAGAGTTTGGGGTACGGGACAGAGAGAATAAAGCAATGTGCGAAGATGCTCAACTTTTGACCTTCCTCTCGGACAGCTTGACTCCTCTGGTTTGAAAAACCACCACATCAATTAAAAAAAGAAAGAAAGAGATACAGGTAGTTGTGGTCACTAAAACTTTATAAAATCTGTGAGAAGCGTGCTGACCTGCCTTCGAGGTCAGTTCTGAGAAACTACGGATGTGGCCGCTGATCGAATCATTGAGTGGCGGCCCGTGTTCCGCCAGGATGCTGGGATCACATTCCAGGGAAAGAATGGGATAGAAGGAACAATGGCGAATAAACACTGGTGGAAGTGGGGAGGGACACAGAGTTCCCGTCCCGTGGAAGCGTGGAGCCAGGGAGAGAAAGTGTTGGAAAGAGGAAATGGGACACAGAAATATTTTTCGAAGGGGGAGGATTTTACTGGATTTAGACTAGAAGGATATAGGGAGACAACCAGATCAATCACCCCCTGTTGCGGATGTCCCCAGCCCCAAGGGTCAAATCATGATTGACACCTACGATGACACTCTTGATCCCCTTGACAGGTGATTGGTCTCAGGATGGACATGTGACCCAAATCTAGCCAGCAAAAGGGAAGAAGTCTGCTGGGGGGATCTCTGCATCTGTCTCATAAAAGAGATAGATATGCTGTCTCCCTTCCTGTTCTGGAAGCTTTTATGTAAGGGTGGGATACTTGGAGCGACAGCAGCCATATTGGAGCCATGAGGCTACCCACTTGCAGAAGAAAGTTCACAAGGTAAGGGTGACAGAGCAGAAGGATGGAAAGGACCTTGGCCCTTGACCCTGTTGAGCTGGGACCACCTACCTCCAAGCTCATTGTTAAAAACGTTCCTATGGTTGACTCCCTATTGGCCAGATACCCTCCAACTTGCAGCCCAATGCAATGGATCAGCCTATATCCTACTAGATCCTACCCAATGACATCTTCTCTTACCTTAAACTATGTTATCCTCTGGGAATTTCTAAACCCTGCCTCTTTGCTCTGTAGGAGCTATGTTACCTTAGCATTTCCCTTACCTGTTATAGCTAGACTCGGGAGATTTCTCATGGGTCTGGTCATTAGCTCTGGCACCAAGATGTCAGGACCCTCCTCATGCTACAAGGGGGCTTTTGAGAGCTGACCGGCTAGGGCTGCATGGACGCAGCATTCCAAGACTAAAA